GTTCGTATGTGTCACAAGCACACAGATAACATCCATCACAGAAAATGAAGGCAGTATAAAGGAAAGTGGGAAAGCCCAGTGTTTAAAAACCCCTTTCGTGTTTTAATGTTAAAGGTAGATTTTTTGTTTTAAGGCTTCAGTTTTTACCTTATTTTAGTCCCTTACTTTGTTTTTAGTCCTAGCTTTGATGTTGATTTTACCATATTTATCCCTGGCCCACCGTGCCTTCGGAGGGTTCTTACCGCTCGGCCCGCTCCGACACGAAAAGCCCTATTTATAAATACAAGCCTTGCGATAGCTGACTCCCTCAGGGTCACTTCGTAGCTTATCGTAAGGTTGCATTCACTACAACATCGCGCTCAGCGATTATCCTAAGACAACGGCTCGTGTGTTCCCTTTACTGTGTTGTACTTAAAACAGAGTCACAGCCACAATATTAAGGAATCCATAGCCTGTTACAGACTGACGGCAGCGTGGTAGTTGCGTCTTTTTGGCTCGCAACACGGACACAGATATTATATCACTTATTTCTATTCTCATTGTGCGATTCCCGTCTTGACCTTACCTCAATTTCTCTCACTTTCGGTCGGTCGGCACGTGAGATGGCGTGAGAGACAGCTCGCTGTTCCCGTTAATTGGTTGTTTGTAATTATTTGTACCATAGGAATATGCGTAGCCTTGTTACGTTGCTCAGTTGTGACACATTCTATCGGCGGTATAGCAAAGCTTGTAAAGCGAATGCATAATTTTATTATTTCGAGTAGAGCGTCAGACCTTCCCCATATCACAGCGTACAGGGATGCCTGATATAACCCGGGTTGCGTAAATCGCCTAATAGATCTACGCTCCGACGTTATGATAGTAGGTATAAGGAAAGTTATTCCAAGTATTTTATTTGAGTCAGTGTGACCCACAGTACGTCCGTTCACAAGGGTTTAACCTAGAATCGTTATCCACTTATTAATCACGCTCTTCTCACCCTTTAAAAGTCACTTGCATGTTTTGGGTAAACCCCCAAGCGATCGTGTGATTCGTGATAGTTATATACCTGTAGGGAATGTTATGAGTGCCCATCACAGATACGCAGAGTAGAGCGGGTTATTATAGATTTTCTCGGCTCGTTCAGTTCACTTAATTTCGAACGGCATTTTGGGTCCCGTCAAGTCTTACGTGGTCTGACATGCATAGCTGGACAATGGCTACGTCGACATTTCAGAATTCTGTAGCGAATTCGAAAAGTAGATTAAATAGTATCATGGATTGTGTAATACATTTCTGACCGACGTCACTGTTCATTAGTGCGTACATTCTGTCGCATATCATTAAATGTTGAGTTCAGTGTGATGGTTGGAATAATGTTATATAAATAGCATAGCTAATTTATCGCATTATTGTAAAACGATTGTTATTCTTCGTGTTTGTGATACATTCTCTGTGTGAGCTCACTCTCACTTTCAATCTCATTCACGCTCACTGTCACTCACACATATGCACACACTCGCTCACTCATCCACGTAAAACAAAATACACAGGAACCTTTTCATTAATAGGGTCTGTTGCTGTCATAGTTATAAGCATAAAAACCTATGATTTGTCTCTTTTGCCCCCGATACGAAAAAAATGTAGTAAAAATAGACATTAAAATCTGCAAATTTATATAAATAACCGGCTAGTAGCACCCCCTCTCTCTGTTGCCTTTTTCTTTCTCTTACTATCTTGGCCCTTATAAATATGATCTGGTTCCTTGACTATATATAGCAATTGGACCGACGATATCTGACACGATACCTAAGGAGGACCTTGCTGCAGAAACGGTCTCCATAGGATGTTATGGGAAGGAAGTCACCAGAAAATCGACATAGGCCTGCAGACCAAGATGTTCGTCAGACATTAAGCCCCCCGAGGATGTAGTGGTAGGGCGCCGCTTGCCCATAGATCCAGCGAAGGACCAAGAACCTGCCAGCGCAGGTATCAGCTGCAATATGATGCCAATGAGGACGCCACCTGCCCGGACGCCCGTAGATCATGAATGTATATATGCATGTATATATACATATATATATATATATATATATATATATATATATATATATATATATATATATATGTATATGTATGTATGTGTGTTTGTGTGTGTGTGTGCGTGTGCATGTGCGTGTGTGTGCTGAACACTACACAAAGACACACATGTATGTAGATAGATCATTTTATATATATATATATATATATATATATATATATATATATATATATAAATGTATATGTATTTGTATGTGTATATATATGTATATACATATACGCATATGTATATATATACATATAGGTATATGTATATATATAAGGTATATATATAAGCACTCACAATACCCAGGTCAACCACCAGCCTCCGGCCCTCCCAGGGCTGGCTGGCCGGACACGCGACACCACGCTCAGCGCTTTCCCTAAAACTGTGTTGTACTCTTCCTTAAGACTCTACAGACCCTTATATATATGTATATAC